TCTGAAATCGGCATGGGGCTCAATAATATTTAAATTACTGGCATGACTTTCGCACTTTATTCAAATATGTACTCTACTACTGTACTTTTACATTCAAATGTTATTCAACAAAATACGGATTTCCAGGTTTGTCATTCAATAATCCACCTACGGTATGCCCTTAGCGCACGCGTTTTCAAGAATATATAGAATTTTTGATGTATTTCGCGCCATTAGTGAGAAGGAGGGGGACCTGGCCCTAGGGAGAGGCATTTTGCACTTCCAGCAGTTTCTATTACTAGTTATTGTAGAGTTACATGTTTCACCTTTGTGAGACCTCTAGACTCCCGTCATGTGTAAACGCTCATTCTCTTGTATAGCTCTACAGGAATTTGCAGGTTTCCAAAAAAGCGAGGGCAGTGATCCAGCTGCTCCTATCAAGCCAACTGCGCCAGTTTTGCCAAGTGGGCGAGATTGGGACTGTGCAGGGAAAGGCGAGAGTTCACGGCGTGGTGTCAACACACCAAGCGCTTAATCGGGACAAGTCCCCAACTACAGCCCATGTCTCGGATTATAGAAGCGTTCCTGTTCATAAGAGTGCGGCGCATCTGTAACGATTACCGGTCGATACATGGAGTGTAAGAGGTGCATTAACTTTTTGCCTGTGCTGCCTGCGTTCTCTTGCGCAAGGTGCGCACTTGTTTGCCTTTCCACCTGGAGCCACGCTACTCCGTAGACACTCCCCCTCCAACGTTAAGATATGGACTGGAAACAGTCTTCATAAGATGGTGTAAGTTCACTGTAGCCGCTACGTTCAGCTGCATCAACTTGTTTCATCACCGGTTCCTCAACTAAAACCGACGCACAAAGAAAGTTTGGCGTCTCTATTCTTCACGACTCTGAAGCGGGAAGGGGAGAGAGGGGGGGAGGGACTTCTAGAAGCTATACTGAATTGGGCGCCCTTGACGTCATTAAGGGAAATGTTTTTGAGAATTTAATCGATTACGCATGAAACTTGCGAGCTGAGCATGCTTTGCTCTTTATTTGCTTGCTCTGTCCTCTGTCCACGCTGTTGGACAACAAATTTATCCCTTTCAGAAAGGCAGAGTGGTTGCAGTGCACAAGTAGGCACACTCAATCACCGCGTGCCGCCGGGTTCGAATCCGTGTCGCACTCTCCAGGCGCAACAATCCTTTTCCATCCGGGAGACGGTTAAATTAGCTTAATCCAAATTCGTTATGGGAGGATAAAACTGATCACAAAGGGATTGATCAACAGCGGAGACTTTATCCTTTTATTTTATTCTTTATCCTTCAGAACATTGTGCTTGTGGTAGGGCGATAATCCCCTTAACTGCAGGCTTCAGTTGAACAGTGTCAGTGGAAATATACAGGGCAGGTGACCCACAGTCTTGACTTGCATGTCGAAAGCATGGCGTATTCATCACTGGTCGAATCCACCATTTCGTTTGGAAATTCCATCGTCTCATTTGCTTCGTTTTTCTCACCGACTGTCTCATTTCAAGTAATCATTCCAGAGCTGTCCTTTGGGGCGCTTCGCGGCGCCGCACCGCGTCGATCCATGCGAATTTAATACCAATCCACTTGTGAGTGTTTTGCACATTACTATATCTTCCTTAGCGCATCCCGGACCAATTACCTGTCAAGACTTGGCAGATGACGTGTCTCATATGACGTCAGCCATGAGGAAACTTGTACGTGTCGTTGTCAATGACGTCTCAAGACACGTCACTGAGGGTTATGTGACGTCATTGACACGCCACTCATCTCTTGACAGGTAACGTGATGCACCGCATACAGTAGATATAGTCGCAATACGGGCGGTATGAGGAGGCGTGGAATGAGCTCACCCTGACAGCTTTTTCTACCAATCGTGGCCGCCTCCATGAACAAAACAACCAGTGGTAGAAAACGCCGCTAGCGAACCCATTCACGCCCTCCTGACGCCGCCCCATTGCCACGCGTAAATCAGCTGTACCTGCGCTGAGTCAGCCAGAATTTTTACTCGATTGTAAGTGGTTTTATTTTCAACTAATTACTTAATGTCTTTTTCTTGCAGGCCTCTTCTAGCCGAGTTTCTCTAGTCATGTGTACAGACAACTAATCCACAATGGCTGTGTTTCTTCCAACCATGACAACTCGTCCGGTTTCATAGCTGTTCACTCAGGATTAAGACAAATTATCCTGAGCCGTAGAAATCTTCATTGGAAAGTTATCTATCCAGTCGATAGCTCATAGTAAAATGCATAGCTATTTCTTTGTTTGATTTTATATCTTCGTCATTTCTGAATATATTACATTTCTCCGAGGAAAGAGATGACCATCATGAATCTCAATTGATTCTCGTTTATAGGCCATTTTGCCGAAAACTCTCACATATAATTCTCTGAAACACCATCCATTATTTCATGTCTGAAAGCTGTCCTCGGAGATGTAATTGGCCTCGAATCATCTTGCCTTCCTCCTGTTCTCTTTCATTTCTCTCTTCTCTCCTCTACAATATCTCCTCTGTGTGTTGTGAAAAATCGCTTATTAATGCCTTAACATATGTAATCAAAGCAACGCTGTGATATGTGTACAAAGAAGCCAAACTATATTTCTTCCTCTTTTCAGCCTTCTATGTGATCTAGCCTTCCAACCATTCCTATACTCACCAAAGATATGTTAGATATTTAATAAATCATTTAGAAAAAGAAGTAGCAGTATAGTACAGTACTGGTCGGGTAGGTGACAATTTAAAAGCTTCGAGCCATTTTCAGGCCTCTGAAGAAGACGAGAAGGTCGAAATGTTAGGCCAATAAAAGGTTCCATCTAACACCTTCATTGGCAGAAGTATTTAAATATTGGACAGAAGTAACAGTACTGGATGATATTTTCACGCTCTGCTCGTGGAATCGGTACCAAATACATTGCCGTGACACACATGCTCAACTACATGCTACCTTCAAGACGGACAAGACAATCGTAATTTGTCGCACCACGCGTGCGGCGCCTTCTGCAGCAAAGCCCATCCTCGAAATCGAGCGGAATCAAGTTCCATGACGTGCAATATCCAATTTTCCCGTCCCTTCAACACTCGAATTCAAATGGTCAACAGGACAGCTCGCCCGTCAGGACGTCGTCACTCGCCGCTCTCATAAGCGCAAAATATTACTATTGTCCAGCCACATAGCCGGTCCTAAACGGAGTTACCCGGCTGGGGGCACGCGATGACGCGATCAAGCCTTTTAGGCTACGTTTATACTTTGCGGCAGCGTAGCGTAGCGCTTCCAGCGTACGCCAGCGGCAGTGCTGGGGAGAGGATGCATATCGATCTAGCGTTCCCAGCGTCACCAGCGTCACGCGCGTAGGCTGCGTCTTCTCCAGCGCTTTCACCACAGCGTTTTGCTAGCGTTTGCAGCGACAGGGAGTAGAGACTATGTGGCCGTCAGAGACGCAGAATCGATGTGTATTGTAGAGACTATGTGGCCGTCAGAGACACGGAATCGACGTGTTGTAGATACTGAGGGTGAGTGAGAGACGCGCAATCGATGTGTTTTGTACCCTCCAGCTTCCCAGTTCTCTTACTCCCATGCCACGCTGGCAAACGCTTAGCAAAACGCGCTGAAAACGCTGGAAAACGCTGGTGTAACGCTAGGAGTAAACGCTGGCGTAACGCTAGCGTACGCTAGCGTGACGCTGGTGACGCTGGGAACGCTAGATCGATATGCATCCTCTCCCCAGCACTGCCGCTGGCGTACGCTGGAAGCGCTACGCTACGCTGCCGCAAAGTATAAACGCAGCCTTAGATATACTGATACGCCACAGCCTTCCCAGTTGCAGCCCAGTTGCAGCCCAGTTGCTCTTTTCGTGAAAGGCAGTCGCATGGCACAATCTCACTGCCACTCTTCTTCTTCTTCTTCTTCTTCCCTAGCGTTAGTCCCGCGCCGTCAGGGTCCGCTGTTCTTGTTAGACGTCGCCACTTGTTCCGATCCACTGCATCTTCTGCCGTGGCTTTCACTTCAGTGAGGTCCTTCTTGATGACGTCCCTCCATCTTTTCTTTGGGGCTCCTCGTGGTCGCTTGCCCTCTACTTCGAATTCCAATGCCTTCCTTATTGCCTCCTCAGCACGTGCCCATTCCGTCGCAGTTGCTGCTCTCGTGTCTTCAGCTGGATCGGAGCCGTCTGTGTAATCGCTCTGACGTCCTCGTTTCTGACTCTGTCGAGTCGTGTCCAACCGCAGGTCCATCTCAGCTGAGTGGAGGTGCCTTTCATGGTTCTTGCAGATGGGCCAGCACTCACTGCCGTAGAGCATTGTAGGCCTTACCACCGCCCGGTACACCTTGCCCTTGAGCGTTCTCGAGCACCGCCGGTCGCACAGGATGCCAGTGGACTCCCTCCATTTCATCCAGGCTGCGTTGATTCGGGTCGTCACCGCCTGGTCCACGCTGCCATCAGCTGTTAGGTCGCTCCCCAATTACTAGAACAGTCGTTAAAAGGTTGCAAATTCCCAGGTGTTATGTAACCGCCTAAAAGTACATAAAACTTTACTAAAGCATCTAAAGCAATTAGCAATGCATAAAAAAAGAAAAAAAGAAACTCTGAGGAAAAAACAACTAATCAGACACTGACAGCAATTGACTGAACATTCACTCAATTAAAGAACTAATCGAAAGAGAAACCCTTTGACCAAAAAGAATGTTCAGCTTCAGAGCGAAAACATCTCAACGCCGACCCCTACTTCGAACCGGATCAACACCCAAGAAATTCTCAACAGACCTTAAAATATTGAAAAAATTATTTCAACAACAAATATAACAAGTGGTAGCTGATTGGAGACGCTACTCCCTAACAATGTGCCATCTTTAGGCTCTAAAAGCACTAGTATAAACGACTCAAAATCGAAAAAGCAGATATGTGAGTGTGGCAAGGAAAGAGAGAGCGAACACAACTTTCGGCCATACAAAACAGATTGTGCAAGGAAAAGTCGAAAAATAACAGGCTGCCATGGGAGCCGGTTATTTAGTTTTTGCTCTTCATTCCGAATGCACTGCAGAACTTCGAGTAGTACTCCGTATGGATTTCACGCAATAACTCCGCAACCGGATCTTGTTGTCTTGCAACAGCCTCCAGTCCTTCGGCCAGTCGTTGTATGATACGCTATACGAAATTTTATGAGATTTCAAAGACAATTCATGAACGAAGTATACCCTGGCGCTGTTTGTCGACGGGGGGGGGCATTTTGTACTATCATTGCTTCCCTAGTTCCGGTTTACAAATCTGGTAAAACTTGTGAACGCTTGTGAAGCTGGAGCAAGATCGTCTAGCCACCATCCTAAAACGTGTCAACTCGAGAAAAGGCTACCTAGATGGGTCGACACATCTATGGAAAGCAAAATGCCCCCCCCCCGTCGACAAACTGCGCCGTATACCCTATTCCTAGTTATAATCCCTTATCCCTTTATAATCCCTTTATAATTCCTCCCCTGGCTACTTAACGACAAGCTGTACACTCACCTCCGAGGACGGTCCCTCTCACTTTGCTAGGTGAACGGGTCCGCAGCTGCTGAAGTGTGCGTGGCCATTTTCTGCTAGCAAAGTGCACGAGAAGGGGGCTAGAAGGTAGTGATACCCAGATGACGTCTCCAAAAACCCCCACCCCCATTATCCTCGAGTGCAGTACTTGCGTCGATATCAGGATCCCGCAGCGAAACATGCATCGGCGGTAGAGAAGAGAGGATACGGATAAAGCGCGTTTGGCTATGGTCAGGCATGTGGCTGCTCGTATGGGCGGAGTGTGGATAACTCGGAAACCCACGGAAACGAGGCTGACGCCACCGTTCTGCCTCGTTTCTGTGAACTTTTAACAGGAGGTAAAGTGGAACGCTACTGCAGCTGCGGATCTATTCACCTGTCTGGGATCCGTGGAGTACAGAATGCAGTTTGTCTTCAAACGACAGTCAACGAAATCATCACTTTTCGATGCTACCAAGAAGAGTAAGAAAGGAGAATTGCAGTACAGTTAAAGATGAAACTCCCTGTGTTTACAAAATAAAAATCCGTGTGGCAGAATGTATAACCTTGCTGGCGTCCAATACTCTACCGTGACAGACTGCACGGTTGCTTGAGTGTACAAGGTGGGAAGATCCGGAGCTGCCTGTTTACCAACTTCACCATTCAAAGTGTGTGGCAATGACATGGGATGGCTTGCTGTTCCAGATGTCTGCGCTCAGGGATAAAACGTCATCTATCACCACGAGAATGCGCAGTTGAAAAACGTCATAAACCGTACTCGACTGCGCCCTCTCAACGAGATAGCGCTTACTGGGTTTGAGTGAGGTCACAAAGGTGTGTGAAAGCCATTTTGGAAGTAGAATCTAGAATCATTTCAAATGAGACCTTATCGGCCTCCATCAAGAACCACAGAGCAGCTATCTCGGTGAGGGGCTTCAGTCTAGCAACGCACATGAAACGGTCGTGTAAGGTATCCAGTGATGGATGAGACATCAGCAACGTCAAGCAATCAGAAGCCTCAGTGGAATACAACAGTGGAATACTTCTGCGGCAGCAGACCTGCCCACCTTATACAAGAAAAAGATTCAACCTTCAGGTAAAGTGCACCGTGAATCCTAGTGAGCTTAAGCAAATGAAATTACACTGAAGCAAGAACTCATTGAAAGTCGCATTAACGCCAAGATTGAGCTTGAACTGCTGCAAAAATTTTTAGATCACGGGTTACAGGTTCCAAGAATCATTACCCACTGTCTTCCAATCACCTAGAACAACTGGGAAAAGAAAAAAAAAATGAAACGAGAACTCACGATAAAATCATGAAGGAGGTACCACATTTCGTTCACGTGAATACAGTTCATCGAATGCAACTTCTGTCGAGATTCATGCATGTAAAAGGCGACAGCAAAGGCATTGTATTGAATCTGAACATATCAAGGAATCGAGGGAGGCTAGAGCCGCCGAAAGTTCTAGTTCTGACAACCGCTCAGTTGGACCGCCTCCCTACGAATGTCCCCTTTACAGTTGACGCAGGGGCGCTCAGTTGTTGTTTGGTGGAGCGGCTTGTATGAATGGTAATTGCGTGTCCCTTTTTGCTGACTGTGCTCGTGCTCATAAACAGTTTTGCTCTCCTCTATTACTTTCTCCATTTAGAGCACACACAGTGAAAAGCAATCAAAAAAATCAAAAGAAAAAAAATCAAATCAAAGCAATAAAACGGGTTGAAATCATCAATGATGTTGTTGTATTGGTGCTACAGCTCACCGAATAGTATTTCCCAGATACCAATTTCGCACAAGCGCAAATAAAGCCATTGTCTGTCACGAGTTCCATTTCTACATCGTGTTTTTCGTTGTTTGCTCACAGGTAAATAGTATTCAGCTCTGAGTGACGCAAGGAAGCGGTTAGTGACCCTAGGGCGGCAGTCTATCGCTTTGTTATCATGGAACGAGCAGGTTGGGGTTGGGCACGGTGAGGATGCCGGGTATCCTTACTTAGGGTGTTCTCGATTATTTTTCGCTTTTATCGTTCTTGGAGTGAGACTTAGGGGTCGGAAGTCCGTAAATGAACGCAACTACCTACGCTACGCAATCGCAGGATCTGCCTTTGAACAAGGTTCACGCAGTTTAGGAGATCCACGTTGCGTTGACGCGCGGAAGCAGCGTAATTCTAGGTTATTTGACTGGACATTCTACAGCATTCCCGAGCATTTAGGTCCCAGAGCGAACCGCATTAGTTAATTCTTCGCAACAGGAACTAACTAACGACAACAAATGCATAAGCGTACCTTTCTGCCACGATGGTCACGTTGATTGAAGTCAATGATTGGCAAGAACGTCGCATCATGTGAATAGCCATCAAATACTGGCGACACCAATTCTTCAGTTATGAATAGATTCGAAGTGTCCTGTTGGCCATGGCAGAACTCGGGAGCCTAAACAGAAAACAGTGTTTGATGCAACTGCACTCATTAGAGATGCACTTTTGACCCCTGTGGAACGGCTCAGGTACTCCTCCCTGGAAATAGTGCTCTGTTTAGCGTGCACCAGTGCGTTGCAAATGATCAGGAAGAGATATTATGTTAAGCAGAGCATGTCGTACACAAAATGCTTTCAAGTCTTCTTATCGGAGTCTCTCAGTATAATTCACAGGAAAAAAAAATCCATAAATCTTCTATATAAAACTCACAAACAGTTTTCGATCGCTTGATGCAGCTGCCATGAATTTATGATAAAGACTGAGGGTCACTTTGTTATACTCATTCACCAGCGTTAACATTTCACTGGGCAAATCACTGAGGAATATCTAGAAAAGTTCAACATTAAGATCTAACCAGAAACTTCACAAAGCAGCAAACCACCGAACCACCTATCTTTGGGAGACCTTTCAAGGATGAGCTAGGTACCAATCACATAAAGGATAAAGTCATCGCCGTTGATCAATCCCTTTGTGGGATGCGGCACGCATTCTACCATTCGTAGTGGCTTATTGAATGCGATGTGGCCTATACAATGACTTGCGGTGGCCAGCCGATGTACAAGTCAGTGTTTTATCCCCCCAGACGAATCTGGTACCAATTCACCGTCCCCGGAGGGTAGAAGGCTTGGTGTGCCTAGGCGGGAGGCGACCCAGGAACCCGGGACCGCGCGGGTGGTGAGCGCGTCACTTGTCACTACACCACCTCCGCCTCACCAATCACATACTCTGGTAAACCTTTCTAGCTTCACATCGCCCTTCGTTCTCTCATGCCCTATACTTCACCTTGTTATCATCTCAAATACAGTTCGGGACTCGAACGTAGGTGGAGGAGGGGGGGGGAAGCGGTGGAGAACGGAAACGTGTACGCGCTCTACTCGCTCGCGCTTTTCTAAAGTGAGCCTATAGAATAGGGACATCACTGTCTCGGTGGGAGAGGGCGCGAACAATTGGCTTAGTTGCGCCATTGGGTCCTGCCCCCCGCTTTTCCATGAACTGTGTTACCACCCAGTGCAGTAGACAAATGGATGCCCAAGCAGCCCACCTCGTGTGTCAGAGAACCACAGCGAGGAGGGAGGGTTGATTCGTATTTTGCTGCTGGGGAGAGAGAGGGTCGTGTCTGCCTATGTGAGAACCCTCCTCACTCGATGACAGTTTTTTTTAAAAACGCTGGAGGGGTTGGGGAAAAATTCCAGGAGGTTGGAAGGATATTGGGAATTCCGGGAGGATGGTAGGAAATTGAGAGTTTATGGAGATGGCAGGTAAGATGGGGAAAGGACCAAAGGAGAAAATCGTGTAAGGTAGGTGGTATTTTGCGAAAAAATTGCCCAACGGCAATATGTGTCCCGGCTTCAAAGGAACAGAAATGAAGCTTTAACGTCGCCTATCAACAATATTGCACACCACGAGGCTCCACACAACCCCAGGTGAATGCCACTGCTTCTTCGCATTAAATCTAACTGACAATCACTAAAGCATTAGAAAATTTCTTCAATCACTAACCAAATTACGCGTTTCAGGTGGATAATTACTCTTATCGGTCATTTGAAGCCAGTAAGGTAAACGACATCGGACGAACAAATTCGCTAGCACAGTAATCATCTTCAGTTTCGCCTTCATCTTATCCTGGAACAAAGCTCAAGTTAGAAAACATATCATGAGAAGAAATTACAGAAGTTTCTACTACTTACTTCAGCTTGTCTGAGCATCGCATGTAAAGCACCTCGCTGCAGCAAATGTACAAATAGGAGATTTCCGGGTTCCGCATTCACTTCTGCTAATGAAGCCGCAAAACCAGCCAAATTCTTGGCGTAGCACTTAAAAACGGACAGAACCACAATAAAAAGAAACTGTTAAACAAAGAAAACAAAATGCAAACTTGAACGCTCACATTTTCATCAAGCAGTTGTAGGTGTCTCAGCAGTTGAATAGAGAACGCTGTGTACATGCGAAGTTGTCTTTGAAGAGCTCCATTTTCAGCCTCGTGCCTAGTGAACAGCGAGAACGAATTTTGCAGCAGCGACAAAACACTCTAAAATAAACATCCACGGTAATCATAAAAAAGTATGAAAGTATCCAAACAACAACAACAACCTTGATTATTTCAGAAGCTGGATTTATAATTAGCGACTCGACGGGAGAACAAGGAAAAGGGAAAACCGGAAAATTCGTCAATCGGAAGAGCGCGCGCTAGTGAACTGAGTTGATCGGTTCACATCTAACACCTTGAAAAATACTCTTTCAAGATATCGAAGAGCCGATTCTTCCATTTTTCCCAGCCGCAGACCAATACCTACAGGTTCCTTGGCGTGGCATTCTCCTAAGACGTTTTTTTTCAGTGCTTAAATGAGCATGATTTGAATTTGGTCATATCGACTTTTTTCAACACCTCACACGATAGGAGGATGCCCAGATTGACGAGCAACCCTGCAAAACCACAATGCAGCAAAAGAAACGCATCTATTCATTTCGTTTGATAGATGGACTAGTTCTTAGTCAATTCCCACCAAACGATGGCCTGCATAATCAGCTAACCATCCACCGAGCAACAAAAACGCATGAAGTACACATTTCTTACATTGTCCCCCCCCCAAATTCAAGCATATTTTGATGAGTTGGAGCCTTACTTCCAGTCGCGATGAAGTAGGTGCTCCAAGTCACACCAGGACCGAACCCACTTAAGGCATCCTTCACAGTCTGTGACCTCCAAGAATCGGAGGAGAGAACGCTTCTGCGCAAAGCTTATGATGTGTATTGACAAGCGCTTCGGTGGCTTTGGCGCCCAAATCGCCTACGTTGACACTCTCCCGGTCGATACGTATTTAACGCTTTTTGCCCTTTCTCTGGGTCGCAGGCAGTGAACAATGCCTTGACACCGCACTGGCGCTACGCGCCCATTCCATTTCCTAAGTTAACTTGTACTGCGATGCCGTGACTGGGACTGGAAAGCAACGCTCAACACCCCATGTGGACAAGTTTCAAAGCAAAGACAACGTACCTTTGCTCGCTGAGAGAATGTCGAAATCGTTGTGGTGCGATCCTCACTCAAAAGGTCCTTGTGGTGAACATACGACAATGCCCGAAGTATAAACGAGGTAGAAAACGGTGGATTTCCTTGTAGAGTTGATAGAGACGCTGTGAGAAGCCGGCGCATTTTACTAAAAATCAAAGCAGTAGCAAAGGTTGCGCCGTGGTAAAAATGTAAAAGAAGAGCTGAAAATCGTAGATGAAACCAGAAAGGAACAGAAGCCACTGAACATTTCGATCACTGTTCGAATGAATAAGTCATAACTTGTTGTCATTTCTTAAAAAAAAGTCAAAAGTTATATCATAAACGTGAAGGCTTACCTTGTCGGCACGCTCATAAAGCACACATTTCCTGAGTGATCGAAACCACGTCGTCCAGCACGACCACTCATTTGACGGAACATAAGAGGCGTAAGGAATGGCGTATCTACACCGAACATTACCGTCTTACAAGGCATGTTCACACTGAAAATCAAGCATTAGTTCGAACCAAATCAGTAGCTTCGGAAAATGGCAGCGTCCAGACTTTGCGATAACGCGCTGTAACGGGCGGCGACAGACTGTAGGTGCTGCAACTCTATAGTTGCAACAGCGCTCCAAAGCTACATATGCGAACACTTTAGCAGATGACCAGTGCCGATCGGCACCATTCTGCGTGACTAGGCAACACATACCCTCCTACTGCCCCATACTCTCTCGAAACACAAGCGGCCAGCGTCCATCTATCCCGTCAGTGGCTGCGACGGGAATCGAGCGGCACCGGCCTTCTGCGGAATGTCTGCGGCTGCGTTCGCTTCCACAGGTTTATAGCGCCGAAGCATTGCAGCGCGTCGACGCACATTACAGCGCATTGTCGTGCGTCATGGCGAAGTCTGAACGCTGCCGATGAGGCACAAGCGCTTTGATTAAATGTTTTAAAACATATAGCACATAACCTCACCCAAGAGCAAGTGTCGATGTAGTGAAGATTATTGCCAAATGTCCACTTCGATAAAGCACCTCAACAGCTCCTTTCTCGGCGTTGTTGAGAGCGCCATGATGGTATCCGATTCCTCTCTCGAAGAGACGGAGCAGTATCCTTGAAAGAGCTGATGCTATCAAACTTTGTTATAAAGAACCCTCTTTTTGAAATTCACCTTGTGCTTTCCCTTCCTCTTGCTCCCTTTTTCATTCTATCCACCATTTTTTCATACACGTCTGGGTCTTCTTCACCGCGACCGCGCAATCGGAATCTAGTAAAGTGCATGTTAGACGGTATACCAGTACGAAATGTAAAGGTAATAGTTCATACCTTGACAGGACTTGCTTAAGCCTTGCTCGCTGGGCTGCGAATGGATCGGCTTCCTCATCGGGTTGAGGTCCGTCATCATCTTTCTTGTCCTTCTCGTCATCGTCACCCTTACCTCCCTTTTTCTTAGCCGCTTTTTTCTTCTCTTCCATATCTCGCTTTCGTTTCGCCAATTTGAGATATTTCTGAGCACAAATTTTTTGAGATATTTCTGAACACAAATTTTACTATTGCTGTGAATGGCTAAGCAGGACTACTCTGAGAATGAGTTGGAGACTTACATCTTCGTCTTTTATAGCATACTTAGTCTTGAATTCAGCACTATTCATGAAAGCCTAAACAACATTGAAAGCAATAAGGGAATGAAGCTTGTATAGCAGCAACATTTAATCCCGTACCGTTTCTCTTGCTTCCAGTTCTTCTGCAAGTCGAATAGCTAACGATTCGCAAACATTTCGATCGTCATTGAAACACATCGCCGGCAGCATGTTCTTTTCATTCATCTCATCGACCAATCGGACAATACTGTCGAGAGCCAATTTTGGCTACAAATAGACAGCTGTGACATAAGCCATCCACTGCTATTCCACTATCATCGAGATATGTCACTCATTATTCTGTTTTTATTGAAGAACATTCTGAGTACCGATATATGAGCCAGTACTTGGAGTTATTGTGTGGAAAGTGGGGGTCTCGTCCATAAAAGGCCTGTCTTTGACCACTAACTGATGCTGATGAAATGACAGGCCAGTAAAGCACTTGGATAAAGGCTGTCAAAGCCCCCTGCCGGAAAAAATCATGTTTATTTTGGCATCCCTTTCAAAACTCCATCTTTCAGGACAAGTCGTGTTTCTACTAACCTAATATTGAAATGGCTTCTGAGTAGACAACGTTTAGTGACTTTTTTTAAGCTCACTCCATTTGAATAACTCGTTTTATAAAAAAAGAAATGACACTTAGTAGATTTACCTTGTTGAATGGAACTGCTCTATGCTGCAACTGCTCATCGATGGGTTTGGATAAAATGGCAATGACCTAAAAATTAAATAATCTGTGGGGTACAATGCCGTCTCCTGAAAATTAAAGGCAGTTGGCATGATCGTTTGCTATTCGGCCTAAAATGCTAGTAGGGCGCTATATAGTGAGGAAATGGCGAAAGAACGGAGTGAAACGGTCAAAATCCGAGACAAAGCCCCCCCCCCCCCTCGCTCAGCGTTCTTGAAAATCAAATTTCGGGACAAGTTTCCCGCAAGTATTCTTGCCAATACCGCTACCGAAGAGATACGACTGCCAGTATGCTATACCATATATGCATGTCGGCACCACGGACGCTTCATACGAGACAATGCGCCTTCGCTTCATAATTTTATTGGCAAATGAATGAATACGACGCCCAGGAACGGTCGTCCATTTGTGGGCGGGCGGGCGTGGCGGGCGTTTGGGACGTAAAGTTGTGGCTTGATAGGGCCCTTATAAGGGCACCTTCCTTGGAAAAGCCGCTATGCAGCGCCTGCTCAGGGTCGCGGAATTCCGTCCTGCCAGGCGTATTGATCCTAGTCGTCTTAGAGGATTTATCATGCCAAATGCCTTTAAGCCAATGAATCAGAGCGAACCTTCTTCATCTTCTCCTCGTCTTCATTCAACCACTGCAGCAGTCGCTTTTTCAAATCAGATTCAAGTTTTCGAAGCGATGCACGTGACAACCAGAACGGTTCAGATGCTTTATAGCCATAGTAACGGCAAGGTTCGAATTCTTTCCTAGAAGAAGTAAGGCAATGAGCTTTCCTTCAATATTCTCATAGAAAGTAAAAGGAAACAAAATAATCAACGCACTTAGTTTTCTCATCGACCTGTGCCATTGTTGTATATAATTGAAGCACTTGTCTGGCAGTAAGTTGCTGATCGTCAGGAATACCAAACATCCGAATTTTCTCAGGCATGAAGAGGCCATACGGCATGAACTGTTGAAGAATACTGCCTTCAATCTGTTCAGGAGGCGATGTCTCCGCCACTTTGCCAACAACTTCTTCTCCTAAAGGTAGAGCTTAGCATCACGCCTTCAACACGAATGAATGCGCAAGGGCTTCGGCTTGCTGGGGGCATTTAGCTATTGGCCTAAGTTCTTGTGAAACTCTGCGGTAGCAAGAGCTTCGTCCCCACTTAAAAATACTCTACAAGAATATCACGATGGGACGTGTGATTCACAGGAGCTATTGAAGAAGCTAGCGAAGATGCACGCCCTCCAAGCCGAACAGCGCCTACACGAGACAAGCTTTCTATACCATTTATCATGCTTTCAATAGGTTGAGGCTTTGGCACTCTTACAATGGATAGCTCCAGCTCTGAGTAACGTTCTTGATGGATGATGAGCTCAACCTTGAAAGAGAAAACATCAGACAAACACGACATATTGGCCGTTTTACAGCTCCCCACAACCGAGTACAGTCCCAACTAGACAGCCAGGCCTCATCAGCAAAACAGAAGTCTGGCTTTCTAGTTGAAACTCACCGTGCGCGCTACGAACAAAACACTGGGGCTTTTCATCAAATCTCAAATACTGGAAAGACGGCGCTATCTCAAAGAGAAAAACGTGCATCGCATACGTGGTCCACAAATCAGACCTCACTAGATCAGAACCTCTGTCCAGTTCGTTTTATGAGGCGCGAGGACTACAAAAGAACATGACGTGGAGAAGAAGAACTAACCCTCCGTTTACGATCAGTCTTGCTTTGTTCGGCACTATCCAACCATGCATGCAATTTCGCAGCATTTCCAATTGTAGCTGACAGGGCAAGGAAAGGGCACTGTATAAGCAGAAGCAAATGCTCCCATATGTGTGCTTCATTCGATGCGCTTAAGTGAAACAAATGAATTCAGCAGAAGCGATACCAAATGATTAAACTACAGCTGTAACTAAACTTACCCGATGGAGTGTACCTCATCAAACACGACATATTTAATGTGTGAAACAAACTCCTGCACTTTTGGATTGGTCGATAGCATAAGCGCTTCCAAAGATTCGGGTACTGTCACCAGCACCTGAATGATATTGCCAATAAAAGAGAAACTGAACAGTATCGCGTCCAAATAACGAGTGGTCGTCTTCAATTCTTTGGAGTTTTTTTTTGTATCTTCATGGATAATTAGTACATCACTCACAGATCGCCGCGGGGAAAGCATCGAAAAAGCTTTTCCTATACCCAGGAAGCCATCTGGCAGCTCCTAATAGTAGACGCAAGGCAATAGGGGCCCAGTGAGTGCCACATGGACGCCGCGGAGGGAATCCAGTGGTATTCTCTACTACAGGACCTAATACAAGGTGCACTTCATAGTGGTAATGGTCTACGGTAGCAAGTGCTGGCGCGGAAGCAAGAATCATAGGAGGCAGCCTCACTTCGCTGCAGCGGGGGGGGGGCTTTGATGGACCTGCGGCTGACACAAGTGGAAAAGTCAGAAACGATGACCTGAAGGAACCGTTGTCCAAAAGCAGCAGCTTTCATGACATTAACGTATTCTGGGGAGGCCACCTGACCATAATGCGGAAGATAAGGAGTTTGAATTTCAGTGCGAGCAACCAAGAACAGCCCATACAAGGAATGGAAGGATGTAACTAATGGTAAGAAAGGGCTCACTAGGGCCAGATCCGATAGGAGAAAAGGTAACGCATGCCAAAAATTGCTGACCCCGCGATAGTGACCAGAGTAAGGCTTGGGAGAAGGAGGATGATCCGCGGTAATTTCATGCTACATTCTGTACATACCTGACATGCCAGTGGATTAAGAGAATGCTCAGGATTCAAAGTTCCAAACAGCGATCTTCCTCGAGTCATGCTCTTGTTCCGGAAACGAGCATACACTGATCCGCAAACCTAAATCAAAAGAAATAGCCGACCTGGAAGTTCCCAAAACCTGAAAGTCTCTCACCTGATTGATCAGAGCTTTAGATGGTGAAACATAAACAACAACGTCATCATCACTATTTCGTAAAACTTTCTCGATACAGTAGTACGACACGAAAGTTTTACCAGCTGATGTGGGTGCAACTATGACAGCGGAATTGCCTGAATTGCGAGTAATTATATGGAATACTGCAAAGTTCAATCATTTCAGAACACCGAAACCAACCGCGATCTACGGAATCAAGCATTCGTCGCTGCCATGCGTCGGGATTGAAACCAGTGACACGATCGTCTTTTCTGGGATCCGACTGGATGTCGATCAGCTCACCGCCATACTCTAGTTGATAATAAACCATGTTCAGGCCTAGGTCCAGTCGCTTCATTTTTCCTTCAGCAGATGCTTTCATTCCAGGCGGCACTTCGAAGCCCAACGTCGCCCACAGATCAACAACGTGATCTTTTTGCTTGTTGTCTAGATGAGCCCAGTGACTCACGAAACAGTCTTTCAGCCAGCCAACAAACTGAACTCCTTCCACTCTTCTGAAAACGGTCAACTAAATAGACTGCAAGTTCTCTGATAAAGCTCAGCATGGTCCAATGCTGTTGTATTGCTCAGCTCTTTCAAAAGGATGCTAGGTGGACAAGTTCTTTTGTAAATTTTTCGACTTTTCGTCGTTCCTCAAAAGCATCAGCATCGCTCAAAGAATCCGAGATTGATGCCTTCCTTATATGAAGTTAATCGGTCCATAGTTGTACTAGCGTACCACTTCCCCATCGCAAAAGTGCTTGGGTACGCGGTGAAAGCTAGCGAGACCCCTAAATCTCCAGACTTCGGCCGCGCATTCTCAGTTTACAGTATTTTCATATATACCGACGTCCTGCAGCAGAACACGTACGCGGCCGTGGAGAATATTCAGAGATGAAAGGGCGAAAACAAACAAGGGGCGTTTGGCTATGGCTAGGCGCATGCGGTGGCCGCGCAGCAGCGCAGACGGAGTATGAGATGGCATCCGGGCATCACTACCCTCCACCCCGCTCCCGTGCACTTTTGAGCAGAGAATGTGGCACACTACTAAAGCTACACCCTTCCCCCACACACATGGCAAAGACCAGGACCCCGGAGGGGCAGGTGTACAGCTTGCATTCAAAGTTTTAGAGTTTCTCACATCTCACCATATACCTTATTTTCTCTAGCGTTTCTGACAACATCTTATGGGAGTGACGCACGCACAAAATACCCAGGAAACAGAGAAAAGAAAGAGGACAAGTCAAGTTTGCTCTGTATTGGGCCGTCACGTGTACTGACTCACCGTAGCACTACAACAGGCTCTAATGGCAGAATACAGAGTAACAGCTTGGTATTTCTACAGGCTTTTGAGATGATATAAGAAACGGCCAATGGGGTGAAGCCTTAGGCAAAATACCTCGACTCCGAACTATGTCTAGCTTCCGACCATTTCCTCTCAAACAGACGTATAACCGCACCTTCTTTCCAAGTTTTCCGGTCCAGTGAGTCGACTCAATAAATCGCGCCCCACTCTTGTCAAGATTTCAAACGCACACAATGCTTTCGACTCTGGGAGTTCTAGCGTACTGTAAGTGCGCTCGAGGAAAACCACAGCCTAAAACAGAACATTAGCTGCTCATAATATCTACAATTCTTCTGAGCAAACCTTCTTGCCCTGCTGCGAAGCAAACTTGATTTTGTTTTTCTCGCTTTCAACCAATTTGACATCTTTTGCCTTCTTGTTGGCTTCCAGGATGAGATCCTTCTTAGACTTGGGAGGCTCCTTCGCGCCCTTCTTTCCACCACCACCACCTAAAAATGCAACTTTCACTCTGTAAAATAGGCACTCCGCTAAATTTACCAACCTTTCTGTCCAGACCACGCCTTTCCGCCCTTCTTCGCTGCATTTTCGGTTGGCTCATCAGCGACTGCTTGCGCAAATCCTTTTGGAACTCGAGAGAAATCCACAAGAAGATTGGACCCACGCCCTTCTAGTGAGTTTGCAAACATTTCATACCTGAAGATTTGAATTACATAAAATTATTCAAGAAAACCTCGAACCTAATTACCTACCATCTGCTCAAGTACTGACGTGCTTTGTTCGCTCTTTTCTTTTGCCATTCATCAGTAATCACTTCAGCTTTCGTGAAATCCTCCTCAATGGGCCTCAATTTCCACGACAATTTCTCTTGCAAAAGTGCAACGTAATCTGAAAATACAGGGTACAGAAGCGTAGACAAGAAAGACTAAATTTCGGATCCTATTCCAAATTCGAGACAACAAACCGTGTTGACGCCCATCTTCGATAATTTTGTCTGAATGGGCTGTTTTCCATTCGGGGATGTACTTCTCTAGTAAGGGAGACTTAACGGTGTAAAGAAGGGGAAGGGATGACAAAGGATCTTCGGCCTGGAATGAAACTGTCTTCATTTTGGAAAAAAAATATCAGAATATCCGAACCGACCTCGGGTAACGGATCGAGGAGCTTCTCGGATGTATCAGTTGGGATGGGTAACTTAAGAGCTGCTGCTGTATGCAATCGAGCGAAATCTTCTTGTACACGATATGGCAAAATCTAAACGAGATAAAAAAATCGGTTTTGTCGCCAAAACAGGGAAAACCACACCACTCACTGGATCGGCAGCACATATGGCGTCGAAGATACCGATAACCATGCGACCGTCCCAGAAATCCGAGAAGGAGAATTTCACAGTCTAAAAGGGGAAAACGTTCTTATTTGTGCGAAATTTGAAAAGAAAAACGTGGTTAGTGGATAATTTAAGATGAAACTCACAGCATAATTCAACTTTTCCAAATAAGAAGTAGCTGTTGTAAGAAGCAAGCGTCTGGATCGCGCTAAACTGTGATATACAGGCGCAGGTGAGCAGGGCTGCTGCTGTGCCGCAGAGTCGAGCGACCACTCTTCTTGCTACGACGACTTATGGCAAATCTGAAACGAGATTAAAAAAATCGTCTTTGTCGCCAAAACAGGGGAAGAACCCACACCTACTTCACTGGAATCGGCCACACCATATGCGGTCGAACGATACCGATAACCATGCGACCGTCCCAGAAATCCGAGAAGGAGAATTTCACGGTCTAAAAGGGGAAAACGTTCTTATATTGTACGAAATCTTGAAAAAGAAAAACGTGGTTAGTGATAATTAAAGCGCACATTCCGCGATAAAATAAGGCTATGACCTCTCAAATGTGTCGGACGATCCGGAAGGCGATTTTTGAGGCTGCGCTACTTTCAAAATGTGAAAAACGGCAAGAACTCCGCTAGAAGCTGACTAATTAGGCCCATGGACACCCCTTAGGCCCATGCCGACCCTCACCGGCTGCTAGCTACTAGCTAGTAGCCACTATGTTATCTTTCTCTATAACATTTCGGACTGCTTTTTCTGCTGCTTTTCTCCGCTAATCAGATACTTAGCACTTTTTTGTGCCTATTTGAGTTCCGTTTCCCGCAATTTGCGGTCGCGAACTGTGCCTTTAAAGATGAAATCACAGCATAATTCAACTTTTCCAAATAAGAAGTAGCTGTTGTAAGAAGCAAGCGTCTATCTTTTATCACGTCTAGACCACGCTTAGCACCTTCCCTTTCGGGAAGATAAATACGTGATGACCCGCGTTTACCCGTCACAAGTGCCGAAAGAAGTACAGCACAGCAGAGAGATTCGAAATGCTCCGAAAACAGTGCCACTGGAAAAGGAAAATCCGAGTGTAAACAGCAAGGGCTCATTTTAGAACTGAGGGCTGTGTTCACACTTTACGTCAGCGTGTGGCAGCGTTTTCCAAGCGTACGCCGCCGCAAGCGACTAACAAGGAGAGATA